CGGTGTCGCCCGCGCAGGCATCATCTACTACACTGCCAAGTTGCCGCTCAGTCTCCCTGCAGATCGGTACGACGTGCCCCTCTCTTTCGTCTTTGCCAACGCGACGCACGAGCAGCACGGCGACTACAGGGCAATTTTGTACGTGAATGGGTTCCAGTTCGGAAAGTACGTGAGCAACATTGGCCCGCAGACGGAGTTCCCTGTCCCAGAGGGCATTCTCAACTACAACGGTGACAACTGGATTGGCCTGGCGGTGTGGTCTTTGGATGATACCGGTGCAAAGGTGCCCGGGTTTGCGCTCAAGGCGGGCACTCCTGTGCAATCCTCTCGTAGCAGGGTTACTTTTGTCAACGGTCCTTCTTTTTCCGAGAGACAGGGGGCATATTAACCATGTGAAGGATGTAAATACATTATTATTTATCTAATAAGTAAAGACAACAACATGTCATTTCATGACTCACCCATCAAGAAATAGTAGTCAATTTTTCAAAAAAAAAAAAAAATTTCAATTCAACGTTGATCTATTCATCATTCATTGTCTTGACACGACATATGAGATGCACTTGTTCCTCAGATGCTCTATCCATCATGTTCCTGACCCATAGAAGTGGACTCGTCATCCCCAAATAGGAATGTTCTTGTAAGCCGGTGAATTGTAGCTATGCAAAACACGGTACCGAGGTGCCGGGCCTTGTGTGTGCCGTTTCAGACCACCAACGGCCACTGATTCTGAGAATGCAGGTCGATGAAGTAGCGTCGAATGCTTGCGTTTGAAAGCCCAGGCCCGAACATCTTCTTGCGTCACTTGTCCACTGCGGTAATACCGGCCCGAGTCTAGCTGACTTTGGCCTTTCAAATCATCACTGAAATTTAGAGATGGGTAGCCCCGCAAACCTTTATGGCCTGTACTATATGACGACGAAGCTCCAACGTAGTCAAAGTCTTGGTGTGGTTGCCGCGGCCTTGGTGGCCTTTGAGAAAAGGTGTTTCGAAGGGTGGGTTGCCGCTCAGGAGGCTCCGAGGGGAATCCTTTTGATGGGCGCAGGGCGAGGACTTCTCCCGGCGCCGACCCTGGCTTGGACCCGTGATTCAACTGACCTCGATTGATTTGTCGTGGGGGCTGTCGTGCACCGGCGCTGGCCGCACTTCCGTGTCGGCTTGGGACCGTAGGCGAGGAAGAATGGCTTGTTTTGGTCTCGATGTCGTGTATGTTCGAAATGCGAATTGGCCCATTTGGAGGCAGGGGGGCATTTGGGTTTGATTTGTCTGGCGTGCTTTTTTTTCCTTGGTGCTGCACAAAACCACCACTTTGCTGGACTTTCCGAAAAGGCGGTATGGCCGAGATGGACTGTTCGATGTCGATGCTATCGTGGCATTCATGACTCTTTGTACCCCCGTCACAATAGCTGTTGCGACTGTAATTGTTCTCGCTGTACTGAACCCCGCTTGCAACACCAACTGTGGAATCTGTGCTGATAGTAGGCGGTTTGGAAATTTTCATGGACGTGCTAGGATAATTTGTACTGCGGTGTCTGAACCTTGCATCCACATCAAGCGGTACTTCGGGAACGGTCTGGATGTTGTTGTGTGAAGCGAAGCCCGTTGCAACAACACCACCACCTTCTTTCCTTGAGTTACCAAGAAATTTTTGCAGCATGCCAGACCTTGTGTTCTCGGATTCATTCCTGTTTTCCGTGGAAAGAGAGCCAACGTCTTTTGAGATGAGCTCAGCTGTTTTTGCTGTTGTGGTGCCTACATTGTCTCCGGGCGGCCAAGCTGAACGTCGCTGAAAATTGCCGTCGGGCTCAGGAAGGGACATGTCCTGATCATGCCGCCGTGCTCTTAGTGAAGGTCGTCTCAGACTGCTGGTAGATCTCGGTGTTTGTGCTTGGCGTGCAGAGATCGTCGAATGTTCTTCCACTCGGTCTATCCAACTGTGTTCGTCCACGACAGATGAATCTGAGCCATCGCGCGTCGGTGTCATTTTACCCTCAGTATCAGCCGCGGCATTCATGGCTATGGGCTCCTCAAGCGGCGGTGTGTGGGATTGAGTCGATGCATCCGAGCTATAAGCGCTGTCAGCGCTCGAAAGCGTTCCCCGCGAGTTCAGGGACGATCCTGTCGAAGAGAACCCGCTGTCTGCTCTAGATACTCCCTTGCGAATAGCTTGATTTGTGCTTGTTCGGCAAGGATGCTCTGGATTTGGCCTCGCACTCAGTTCATTTCCCGCATCCAATGTCTCTTTCGCAGAGCACTCCTTGCCAGGTTTTTCGTGTCTTGCACCCTTGTGCTTGGTTGTTTTCTGCTTCTGCGAGTAGTTGGCTGGGGCAAGAGGATGAGATGACAGTCGCCCTCGAGCCGCAACTACCCGGGGCTCCTCAATAAGCTCTATAAGGCTTGGCAGTCGTTCATTTGGGGGCTTGAGGTTGGATGACTCGGCGGAAGGAAGGATGTCATCATTGAGAGTGGAGTTGATGGGCTGCGAGAAAGCACGTCTATGGAAATTCTTTGCTTTTGATCGGAGGATATCCAGTCTCGTCGGTTTTGGGGCAACTTGTACGACAGAAAAATTCGAGGGGCCACGTGATCCTCCACGTGGATTCGCCTTGTTGTGATCCTGAGACGTTGGGGGACAGGTATTTTGTGTTCCTGATGACCTCTTTTCCTCACCCTCACCCTCACCCTCACCCTTACCCTCACTATGACGTCGAAAGCTCGGAATAGGCGATGCATTTGTGATACGCAGGGTACCAAACTTCATTCCACCCAGTTGCTGATAGTCTGTTTCACACGGAGTGACAGATCGTTCCTGCTCAAAAGCCCTGGGCAAGTTGGGCAAAGACAGCTGCTTGTGGTGAAACCTTCCCCTCAGGTTTTGCCCATTGGATACCCCGTGAGTTGCCTCAATCGCCAAGTCTCGTAATGCGTCTAGATCTGGAGATGGCCGTGTTGCCACCCCAGGGGTTTGCAAGATGGATTGTCTGCGCATAGGCACGCATGTCAACTCACGATCAGTTTCGCTAACGGGAGAAACAAGTGCTTTGTTGTTGGAACCGGTGGTTTGGGCACCGTGCTCATGAATCAAGCTTGTTCCGAAGTCGTTTACAAAGCTCGCGTTTAGAGGTGAAATAGGAAGGATGCCGAGCTTGGTGAAGTGTGAGTCCAGCACTTTTTGTCTTGCGTCCTGGTGATCCATGCTATTTACATGTCAGCAACAAGGACGCATGCCGCACTCTATAATCGTGTGAAATACTCACCCATTTCGGCGAAAGGTCTGTGGACTGAGGGGACTCACAGCACTGCCAACGCTGACAGTGGATTTGATGACATTTTGGCAAATTGCATTGTGCAGGTTGCGCGGACTAGAAGCGTCACCAGAGCCCGAAGCGCCGCTTCTCGTTGATGCATTTTGGTTTTGCAGCTGCAATACTCGCTTGTTTCTGCGTACTGCCAAATGACTTTGTTCGGGTCTCATCAGACCTGGCGAATGTGTCTCAGATGGCCCCCCCCCTCTATCACTCTCACTCTCTTGATCAGTCTGCTCAAGTAACAGACTGGGCAGTGATCCGGCAAGGTAGGCATAAGAGTAGCGGCTAGTACCTGACGAAGAGAAGTGAGATGGCGAGAAGGTGGGATGACTCGACAGGCTGGGTTCGCAGTCCTTCTGCTTTTGCTTCGAGAGCCTGTTCGAGACTCGTTGAGCATCACCGGATGCGAGCTCTTCTTGAAAAGCGGCGTGGCTGTCGAGGCACGGTGAAGAGTCCGAAGACATACTCCTTCTTGACGACATGGCCGAGTCGACAAGATGAGATCGGGTTTGATGTATTGGTCTCCGGCTGGAGTTTCCATGAGTTTCCATCATGTATCGATCCCTCCCACGTCTGGCTAGGGTTAAATGTATACCATGGGTGCCAGCCACCCTTTGCAGACTGTGGACAATGATGATATAACGAGACAGGTCGTGGGAGCCAACAGGTGGGCAAGTGTGCAAGACTATAAGCATGGATGGCACGACATCAAGTTTTACGAGCAAGTCCCTCTTCGGGACGATGGGAAATCCGAAATCTTTTAGGCCTACGAATTATGCTAGGCCTACGAATTATGCTAGGCCAGCGAGGACTCTAAACGACGGCGGCGGCGTGTTCCGTTGCCAACTTTTTGAGACATCGAACCCGAATGTGTGGCAGGATGTGGAGCCAGCAGCAGACTTCCCAGCTTGGCAGAGGCTCGAGGCTCTCTCTTTTCATGCGACAAGGCTGTTTTCATGCGATCTGGTGGGTAGCATGGACCGTTCGGCGGCGAGATGGGGGAGCGGACAGCGACAGCATTGGCCGCGGTTGGCATTCCAGCCCCGAACGTCTAACTGGATCGGGACGGGCTGAGCCACGATATCTATTCCTATTCCTATGTGAGACGACTGGCATTGCAGAGACAGCGACATGAAACCGGTCCTGTTTACCAAACAGACCCGTTTGGGTTCGCGACGGCGGCGCTGGCCAAAAACGCACGGCTCGTTTGCGACCGGCATGCTGACGTGGGAGAACCAGTTGAGCCGATCAACGACTGCAGGAGGCCCTGAAACTGGTTTTGGTATTTTGGTACGGCCTTTTGTGGCCTTTTTTTGTGGTTCTTTGTATTGGTGACGTCGTGCAAGAGCCGTTTTCGTCGTGCCCGCATTTCGCATTTCGCATTTCGCATTTTGCATGTGAAAGGCGCGAAAGCCTAACGTTATTCTGCTTCGTCTTTCATCCCGTATGGGATTATGAGGCTCATGCCATCGGCGACAGACGTCTCAGTATTCCTGACCTACGATGGAGGAGCATGATGCCTCATGCAAGACCCGGGCTTGTTAGTATCGCCGTAATATCGGTAAATCAAATCCATCGTTGCGTGTTTCCCCGATGCGGATATGAAGGCAGAGCGCAAAGCTAAGGCACATGGTCCTTTTAACCAATGGCTTGTTATTATTTAGCGGATGCACACCTCGCAAAAAATTAGGACTCCCCCGGAAAGGCTCGAACTTTCAACCTGAATATTTGTTAGTACACTAATTCTAGGAACCTAGAACCAGCGTGGTTGGTAATTACCTCCTGATTAACAGTCAGACGCGCTAGCCAATTGCGCCACGGAGGAACTGCTGCCACCTCGGAAAATAATTTCAAACTATGTACTTTACACACAGTCACCGAACGTTCAATCACATTTGAACCGTACTCGGACCAGATTTCTCAAATTATGCAGGTTTATACAAGTAGTCACAGAGTTTCTCTGCATACATTTCCGTGCCTCGGTACTCACAGTCATGAATGCAAAGCGCTGCTAGTGTACGCAAGTCGGAAACACTGAATATCAACCAACCTGTGGAAATTCCCCGTCAATGATGGTGCAGTGCACTGGCGCCCGGTCACTGTTCTGAACAGTTAATTAGAGTAATTTTTGGAATCACCCGGAGTCATTTCACCGGGTAGTACTCATGCTATTAACTTGCGCTTGACAAAGTTCACGTTTACCCCGCGGGATGATGCATGGGTTTCTCATATTTCTTACAATAGGGTAAGTCAAGTCCGCTAGACAAATTTTGCCACATGAACGACCAAGAATAGGAACGGCAAGTACCTCGATTATTGCACTGGCACGTGGTCAGGGAAAATCAAGAAAACTTCATGTATATATTATGATAACTAGAATAGAGCTATAATATTCGAAAAAAACAGTATTGAAAATTGGCTACGCACTAGGATGTGTACCTCATTCGTTCGTGCTGTCTTATCCATCACTAACTTAACCCAGTACCCACAGCCGAAGAAACAAGAGGCAGCAAATGGGTAGGAGTCTCTTTGTCTCTTCTTATTCAGACGCAAATCGTCTTCTTTACGTATGCAATTGACTGTGTCACAGGACGCACTACTTCAAACGCGACGGATAATGCATCAAGGGAGGATCAACCCTTGCCCTTGAAGCCGTAATAATGGCTAGCTGACATAAGTAATATTAGCAAGCTGAGCTGACAACAATCACTCGTCCTCCGTGGCGCAATTGGCTAGCGCGTCTGACTGTTAATCAGGAGGTTGAAAGTTCGAGCCTTTCCGGGGGAGCCAGTTTTCTTTTTGGCTTTCCCTTTTGCAGCGCCCGTTCTTTGTTGAACGATGATCGAGTTTTGGAAAGAACCATGGTGCAAGATGTGGGAAGAAGCTGTCTTTGGCCAATGTTTTTTTTTGCAGCTATAGTGGATTTTTTTTCCCTGGGATTTTATCATCGTGGACTATTTGTTTTTGGCTCGTTCTTTGCAACATTGCTTTCCTACATCTTTGAGACATCTTGGTGAGCAAGGGCGCTATAACATTGCCCTGCAGAATTATCGGGAAGTCACTTTGAGACCAAGTCAATTCGCTGGATCGCTGGATCGCTTGACGCGGCGTCCCTTGTGTAACGATCGGCACGGGCATTACGAGACAAGAAACCTTGAAGGGGAACGTGCGTTCCCGGCTTTACAATGGCTGCGATGTATTGTGAAGGAGCTGAATAGTTACGTTCCCGATAATGACTAGGCGTGATGTTGCTCTGTTAAGCCGTAACAAGTATCGTGCATCTAGCTACGAGATCTTGTAGTGTACGAGCTGTTTTTGTGAACCAGCGTCCTGTCGACGGAGGCAAAGCGCGGCAAGGTATGCTCAAAACTCGTCGTTACTAGAGCGTGGCAGGGTATAAAAGGCTCTTGGGGGAGAGCGGTAATACTCTCGTATTCGTTGGATCTGGCGACTGCATCAACGCTTCAAATATGCCTCGTCTGTCCACTGGCTCCAGCAATAGATGGCCTGAAGCCCCTTGCCATAGAGGATTGAATGCATTGAGACCTCGCTCTGATCGATAGTCTTGTGCTGTCGCATATTCGGAGGCCTCCGCAAAGAGAAGATTTTGAAAATATCAGGCAGCCCCAAAACTGCAGCAAACTCAGCTCTATCTCTGTAGTATTGTCCGTATATGAGAAGGGAATGAATTTAGAATTTATGTTTGCCTGTGAGTCCAATACGTGATAGTGAAGAGAAGGATGCTTGTGGCGATACCTTACGTCGGAATGCGCTCCGATCCTTTGTTTCAAATTATTGCTCTGGCCAACGTACAAATGATAATCGTGTTCATGGAATGTTCATGGGCATAGAAAGTGCATGTATATTCCTCGTCTCGAAGATGAAAGATCTCCTGCGACGGCGCATGGCCTGTGATATCATGAGTATTGTTCGAATGGGGCGAATGAAGAATATGATTCAGATACCACAAAGAAGAAGAAGAAGAAGAAGAAGAAGAAGAAGAAGAAGAAGAAGAAGAAGAAGAAGAAGAAGAAGAAGAATCTCATAGAAGAACATAATAGCCAAAGAACTAAAGGGTTTTGATTGGTTCAACTCACTTGTTCGGGGATATAGGTCCATTCTGCAACAATTGCATCGTGTCATGGCGAACAAACTTAGCGAGGTCGCGGACAGTGACATGTGAATTTTCTAGTAACCGAGCGTATTGCTCAATCTTGAGCCACTTCAACGACTGCAGTGCTTCATTAAGCAGTCCTTAAGACAATCGACAGCACCCAATGGCAACGTGGTAGACTGGGGTGGACCGAAACGGGCATCGGCGGCCTTTTGAGATCCTTGACCAAGTTGCTGTCCTGTTCGCTTGAACGACCATCCATGCCGAATCTCGTTCACATTCTTTTGGACATAGAAATGAGAATTCCACATCGAGAAAAATTAAAGTGCGAGTGTATTTGATCGCTGGAGGTTTGTTGCATCCCAAGGGAAGTCTTCTGCCCACGAACAAACAAGGTCAACCCAACCCTCTCTAGGTGCTGAGTCGTGGATTCAGAAGCTGAATCTGCCGGAACGAAGCCGGGAGGTAAGTATAGTGGTGTATAAGATCGTTTATCATTCGATCTGCTGCACATACAAAAACCCCGAGGTGATGACCCAGAAAGCTTTGGAGTGCCGGGCAGGTTGCCAGACAGGCAAGGGAATTTTGCCCTTGATTGTCCAACAAAGAGCGAGAAAATGCATCAAACGCCAGGACCATATCATGCCGAACAAAACTCTGCGCGGAATCCAAAAGAAAGATTGGAAGGCGGTATTGGTTCGAGCCCTATACCGACTGCTGCTTCTGGCGATGGAGAAGGCGGTATAGAGTGGTGTTGATGAGGCCGTATGAGAGCAAACGAGTGAGAGGGAGTCGTCTGTGTGCTCACCAAAATCAGTGGTCGTTAATTCCCCTTGACTCACTCCGAGTACCTACTTCCACTAACGCATGTGCATATGCTCGCTATGAAAGACCATCGACGACATGTAGTCCTGATCGGCCTTGATGGGAGAGACACGGAGAATCTCTCTTCGTACACTGGCATGCATGATTTCCATGGCACTACTGTTCGATATTCTGTGTTTGGACAAGAAATTGCCATCCGCCCGACATGTTCCAATGGCGCAACACACAACACACCATCGTCACTCTCCAATGACATATGTGCAGCCTTCTTGACCCATCCATACTTCATGGACTCGCCCAGCATCAACGTCGACTCTGGAACCGACGCCATACGTTGACTTTTCCCCGTCCGGCCCATCGGGATACCAAAGCATCAATTGACCCGAGACGATGAGATGAGTTGTCAGACCGGCGTGAGAATGAGGAGGGTAGTGGGCGTTTCTGTGGCAGTCAGGCGGGTTGATTGACTCGACTCGATTGACAAAAGACTTACGGTCCGTCTGTCCATGTAAAGACGTGGGAGAAGCCCCAGGAGCGCACTTGCGCCTCGTGCTCTCGGCCCATGGTCTTTTCAAAAGCGGTCGCGCTTGGCCTCGTGGATGGAGAAACAGCCGGAGATGCAGTCGGCGATGCGTGTCATCGATGATGAATGATGAAGAAAAGAGACGCCCCCGCATGCCTCAGGACTTCTACAAATTGACTAAATAACGCTAACAAATATCGGATAGCGCACGTGTTCACTAATAACAATTGCCCAATAAGCGCCCCGTAACCCTCGAAGCTTGTTCCCACATCAGGTCACATCAGGTCACATCTATTACCACATTCCCTGGCCCTGGCTCACCATCTCAACAGGATCAGACCAGACCAGCATCCAATCCATCAGACAGAAAGGCATGTGTCGTAATGTGTACGGATTACATGTGGGTGACAATTTATAATAATCCAACCTCGACACCATCAACATGGTGGTGGGGGCCACGGGGCCAACTTGCCAACGTCCCACTTGGGAGGCAAAGCTGACAGACAGACAGGACAGGGAAGAGACCAGAAGCCATGCCAGTGTCATTTCAGCTCAGCTCCAGTGAGTGAGGCTGCAGATCTCTCTCCATGGCTTGCTCGCTCCGTATTTGAGCCGAGCCGCGACGTTGTCTGCTCAAGTTCCCGCCTTGTTCGCCTTGTTCTCTTTGTTGAACGTCAGAGCCTCGCTCACGAGGCAAGAGATTGATTCTGTGCATTTGACCGTCATCTGAGCCCTTACCCGTCTCGCATGCACTTACATAGCTACGTACGTGCTCAACCTCAGCGCTTGATGTGCCATCATCTGCCCCAGTCGCTCTTCCGGCCCGCCAGGCGTTGAAATTGAGCTAGATCGTCAATTGCACGGTCCAACCCGCTACGACTTTGGCTTGGCAAAGCGGCGGTCATCATGTCTTTTCTATGCGGTTTGCCGGCGGTAAGTTGCGAATTTCAACCTCAGAGTCTCAGGTCGTTCAAGCACAGAGCGTCCCGTCCCGTCCCTTGTGCTAACCTTTGCTCCATCTCTAGCGTCGACGCTTCCTGAGCCGCAAATCGAACGATGCAGAGTCTCCTCGACGTACATCGACCATGTCGATATTCGGCACCTCAAACAAAAATGCTCGTCGTGCACTTTTGAGCATGGTTGGGGTTACATTATTGACCAAGCCAGCGAAGAATAGTTCTCCGACAACAGACCAGAAACCTGTGGACGGAAACGTGCACATGAGCAACCACATGTATGATGTCGTGGAACAGCTCTACGATGATCTAAGAGGTCCGGATGCACACTTATCGAAAGACAAGCTCTACAAGTTTCTCAAAGAGGTCCAATGCGAGCCAGTCGTGTCAGACCTCGACCAGGAGCA